TGCTCACCGTTCTTGTTTCCCCAAGACACGGGTCTTACAATCCACCCCCCTTGGGGCCCAGCGTCCTCGCTGGCACACTTCCGGTCGGGGTCTGGCTCTGATACCAAATCGCTCCCATTGATACTTGAGACTCACGACTATACCCTTTTTATATTTAATTTTTAACGAGTTTATATGGAAGGCTATACCATTTTTAATTAATTTCTTATTTTTAAAAAGTATAGCCGCGCAGCCATACTCTTTCCATATTTATAGTATAGCCGTGCGGCTATATCGAGTTTGGGGCTATACTTTTTAAAAATAAGAAATTAATTAAAAATGGTATAGCTGCGCAGCCATACTCTTTCCATATTTATAGTATAGCCGTGCGGCTATATCCAGCTATACCATTTTTAATTAATTTCTTATTTTTAAAAAGTATAGCCGCGCAGCCATACTCCTTCCATATTTATAGTATAGCCGTGCGGCTATATCGAGTTTGGGGCTAATATACCACTTTAGCCCATTCGGCTGGAGTTATTTCTTCAATTATTTTGGGCAAGAATAAAAAATGGATTTTATTTATAAGAAATAATAGGAGTTTAACCCATAAATACAACAACAAAAGGGATCCACCAACATTTTGTGGATCAAAGAATGTTGAATTTCTAAGTATAAAATTGCTTGAATGCGTTTTGAATCTAAATTTCCATGTCCTAAAAAGAGTCTTCTTGGTATTTACTCTTTTTAACCCCTTTCTTCTAAGGTTAGAGTCTGAGAAATATATATGGGAGAGGGAAAGAGACTCAACTCACAACTACTATTCAATCTCACTCAAATACAGATATATATTTAAATAGTATAGCCGCACAGTTATACTTTGTAAATATATTTGAATATTTACTTATATACACCTTAAGGTCCAATGTATTGATACCTTTTTAAAACTATCTATAACTATACATCTTAAGGTCAACGTATCTTACTGATAATATATCTTCCTTTGGTTACTGCGCAGTTCAATAAGTTGTGAAATAGAGTGCTCTTGCTCAAACCTTAAATAACAATATGAAATTAAAGTCAATTTCATCCCCTGGAAAGCAAGAAAAGGCCACAGAGTACCTGGAGAGTCTTAGGAACTGATGATAACTCCATGTGAGTAACCAAGTGATCAGAGAAAGATACTCTTATGAGAGCATATAATTCCCATGTTGAGGTGTTCCCAAGGACCAACCACCATGCTTCATTTTTCACCTATAAAAGAGAATCTGAAGCTCAGTTTGGTTTCTCATTACTAGTTTAGAACAAGAAAAAGTTTTTACCTAAGGAAAATGCGGTAAACGCTCTTGATTTGTTTTGCCTGAAATTGGTGTTCACCAGTGTGATGTCTAAAGAGCGAGACTTTCTGCTGAAGTTTTAATTTCACTTCGATATGTGGAAAAGGCTGCAGATCCTAGAAGAACAAAATATTCTAGATGCAAAGCTACTGAAATAAGTTCAACATTCCAATCTTATTTCCAATAAAAACAAGCTGAGACAAATCAAAATTTTGTCAACCTGTCTATCTATAATTAAACACTTCTCTCTCGATTAATAGAGTTCTAAGTTCAACAATTAAAAAAACATTTGCTTAAATAAAAAGGATCGATGCGTAAATATAGCAATGGGGAAGGAAAGTCTGACAGTACAAACTGGATTGTTGATATATATGCAATCAATATCATTGTTGCCAACAATACGTATCAACATATTATTGGTACATTTTTGCCAACAACGATGTCGATGTGCATATCGAGAGTCTGTTCTCTAATTTTCTGTATATTATTCGGCAATTTTTTGGCAAATTACAACTCATAAGTTTAGCCACTATATAATATTTTAATATAATTTAATTAATGTTTTTAATATATATTATTTTTATTCAATAATGTGCGAATATTATGTGTATAATACGTGAATTTTGTGTGTATTATTGAAAATTTTGTTAAAAAACAAGTGTATTAAACATGAAAAATACATATGTATATGTATAATACGAGTCTTAAATGTCAAAATGCTAAATTCTTTATACGGGTAATAACTCTAGAAAGTAAAATTACTCAAAAGGAGACAATAGAGACTCGGGTAATGGCTTAATAGTAATGAATAGTGCTTTAAACTACTCTTATAAACAAAAATCGAGGACAAACAATTTTTTTTTAAAAAGATCACGTATGGTAAAGCGTATAGCCGAACGGCTATACTATTTATATAAAAAAACCCAGCCATGCCGCGTGGCTATACTCTTTTATTTAAAAAATGGGAGTTTCACTAAAATACCCAAAATGGGGGCTGAAATTATAAAAATACCCAATACCCAAAACACTTTATAAACATACCCAAAACTCATCATTACACACACTCAAAACCCATTTATAAATATACCCAAAACCCATCATTACACACATACCCAAAACCCATTTTGGGTATGTTTCTATGTTTAAATAGTGCTTGGGTATTTTTATAAATACATGTCTAGGATTGGGTATTTTTATAAATATCCCGAGTCTAGCCGAGCGGCTATACTATTTATTTTTTTTAAAAAGGGACCCGCATAGCGCTTATAAGGCGCCCAAGTATAGCCGCGCGGCTATACACTTTTTTAAAGTAAAAAACCATAGTTTCGCCGCGCGGCTATACTCTTTAACTATATTATTTTTAAAAGGAATATCTTTTAAATGGCGATACTATTTATTAAAAAAGAAAACTTTTAAATAATAAAAAAACAGGACCCCCGTACAGCCGCGCGGCTATACTGGTTAAAAAATCTCATGTATAGCCGCTCGGCTATACTATTTATATATAAATATATTAAAAAGGACCCGCCTTGTCACGTGTCAAAAATAGTTGTATTAATAAAATAAAAAATAAAATAAAAGATAAAATTATAAATAAAACAAAACACATATTAAAGCCTAACTGTTAATAATGGATCCAACATAAGATCCAGCCCAAGCCCATGAATAAAGCCCCTGAAAACGGTTGGACCCAATTTTAAACACGTTAATATGTTATAGGTTTTTTCCCGGCAAACCTTTAGTCTCTCCTCCTTCAGCTTTACACGAGCGGCATAGTCTCTTTCGTCATTTTCTGTACCCAATAGAAGTGTAGGCAAGCTTTTGATCTTCGCTCTCCTGTGCTTGCATCTTACCTTTGTTATTGCCGAGTAAGCCGTCTCAAATGGTTGGTCGTTCAGTTCATATGTGAAAGCAACAAATTGCACGCCATGTGTTCGATGTATTGCCTTACCGAATTCAAGGCCCTTTTACTATTGCAGTTTTAACTTCGGAGCGTCGACTTGAAGGGTTATTTGAGGTTTTTTTTTCCAGATCACAATGGCCTGTAGACATGTAGACAGGTTAATACATGGTGCAAAGCATCTAATGGCTAAGCGAAAGGGAGCTGTCCATTTGAATGGGATGCTATATCATTGCTCAGAGGAGTCTCATGGAGAGCCTATGCCTCGAGAATGGTATCAAAAGGAATTCCCCAAGTTTACAAAACTAACCCAAGTGTTAAAAAATGTCGATTTGGTTGATGGAAGGCTTGTTAACATCAGTGATGGTTCGATTATCATGGATGACCGTATTGAACACAGAATGCTTACTTTCAAGTCACTTGCCAGGGAATTTATTGGGTCTCCATTAGTTCAGCAAAGGTTAAAGAATGATGTCGTGGCGTTGTCAGGTGGTAGAATCTGTAATCAATTTGTGTGTTTCAGTAAACCAAATGAAAGAGAGCCCATGGTTGTAAAAACACTCTCCGTAGTAAGTGGCTTTCTGAACATTTCTGCTCAACAAAGACAGTCAGTGCGTGTTACATTATCTCCACAGATTACACAGCACCGCATATGGACTGGGACGCTTGAGGAGGTACTCAATGGATTGAAATCCGAGTTGGAATATTTAGATCATCGGTGCCCAAGCAAAGGGACGAAGATGGGACAGCAGATAGTTGCTAGCTGTCTGAAGTTCTTGGCTGACACATCCACATCCATTTCATATGAACATGATTCCTCTTCATGGACGCGCCTATCGCCTGCAAAAGTTACAGACTCTTCTGGTTTGCAAAAATGGGA